TGCTCTTCCTCACTGTGAGCTATAGTCAAGTTTCAGATTCAACCGAGTTGCAAGATTTCTGAACAGGATCCCCCATTACACATAGAACGAAAAATAAGGGGGTCTGCTAATATTTCATCCATCCCTTGTGGACCAAAAAATTATCACTAAAAGAGCTATATTTTGGACAGCGCCTTTTGCTGAATTCTTTTCTTGCCAAAATACATTTGTCGCACGCTGACGCTCCCCGATGCCTGAAAAAAAAATCTACACTATTTAACTAGTAAATAGTTAACTAGTAAATAGTAAATGTTGAGGCTGCCTTTCCTATCCTCACCAGATTAAGACGTGAGATACTTTTATTAAAATAAAATAATCATAATGTTCATCGTCAGTAGCACCAACATCAACTCTGTCCTCATAGATTTAGCTTTCAGTTTTAAAGAATCAGCTGCAGCAGAAATGTGTAGGTAAAACTCAGTTCTAGACAGAGAGAATGTGCACTGAAGTTCTGCTTCTTTGTTGACAATCCCCACCCCCATCAACAGTGTGTGTGTGTGTGTCCTTTTTGATCGACCTAACGTGGAAACGGAGAAAAATGGAACCCTATTACAGAAGCTGTCTGCCAATAAAGACGAAACTCCGAACGCTTTGTCCAAAGCACTGGTTCCCCCCCCTTTTTTTTTAAGTGTGTGCGCAACTCCAATCTATACTTTCTGTGTCCACTACCTCAGCCAACTCCATCCCCGGGATCATATTTCCATGTCTTAACAACTATCCCTAGCAGCAACTGCTGCGCCCTTTTGAGTGTTGTCAAAAATATATCTCAGCATATGGGCCATCTGCTTTGATTGAAAGACTATCAGGCTCCTAGGAAGCACTTCTTAGCCGTTCAAAGTGTATCAGTAATAATATTTCGGTACCGACAGGCGAATCTCAAAAGGTGGCGTTACAAAGAACCGACTAACTTCTTCCTTTTAGCGTCAGACGCCGCTACTTTCTAGAAAATCGAAATAGACTGTACCCTACAAAATCAGGGGGTTTTCTGGTCTGTATCATTTTATCAGGCAAGGAACCTGCATTCATAGAAAAACAAGAGATCAAGGAAAACACAGTTCCTTCTAACGCCTTCCTGATTACACCTAATAAGCAAATGAAAGAGAAATACTTTGTGCTTGGAAGCATAGGGCTGTGAATTAACATAACGCGAAGAAAGATTTATTTGATCGATTAATGGTGAAATTACACCATTATAATATGATGCATCATTTCAGCAACGAGATATCAACCCTTGTACTGTCGGCGGTGGGGGGTAGCGCCCTTTATTCTTCTCTCTGTCATATGTACAAAGCCTATGGATTTGTGTTAGCTCAAAATATTAAGTGGCTTCGTTGCCAATATTTTGCTCCTCCGTTGCAAATCTTTCCCCCTTTCTCGGTATTTTGTTTTCTTAAACGTATTTGCAGTAGGTTCGCACGTGAGCGTATTTTCTAAGATCAAATGAAACTTCGTTTAGTTTGCTGAGTCCCAGTAGCAAAAAGCTGCCACATTCATCTCCCTTCCTCCACCCACCCCTCCTTCCCACCTCACTCCGCCGCCCCCTCTCTTTCTCTCTCGCTCTCATTGCATCTCTCTTCTTCGCTGTCTCCCTCTGTGAAAGGGAAGAGACAGCCTCTGGCAAACTGGCAAGATTGAACTGAGAGCAAGAGAGCGCCGAGGAGCTGTCCTTGGTGCTGAAAGCACTGGCGGCAGGGAGCAGATCGGCTGCAGTGGCAATATCATCATTGTCACCGAAAAATCAAAGCTGGGCGGAAGAAAGGGTGGAAAGGGAAGGGTGGTGAGGCTGTTTCCACTCGCTAACTTTTGTATGTAAAAAAACAAATAAAAGATTTTTTAAAAAATACTGGAACCTTGTTTTGCTCACAGACCAGTCTCTCATAGGCCACAGACCCGGCTCCAGAATGGCAATCACAAGAAGACTTCATTTTATCACCCTAACACCATTTTAGGGGGGGATGTAGATAAGCTCACCGGAGCCTTAAAACTCCAGCAGAAAACAGCTCCCCCCTCCCGCCCCCATTCAAACTCGCTACATCAAAGACGTGTCTCCTTAGGCAATAAGGTTGCCAATTTGCACACCTCGGTTTGATTCCAAGGAGACACAACACACCAGATACAAAGCTTTCTATGGGCTGCTAGTTCTTTACCAGGACAGCATAGTTCTGTCGGGTATTTATATAGCTCCTTCTGGGCGATCTTTTGATCGCATGGCATCATTTAAATTTAGCTCTTGATCCGGGGCAATTCGTGGCCGCTTATCAAACCCACGGGGAGCTACAGCAGCGGTTTGTCTGTGGGTGGTGGGGTGAGGGAAAGAAAATCTGCTGTCCTTTTTTCAGATCTTTCCCTGGGGCGTCTTCGGTCTGTCCACAGAAGTGTGTCTTGTTCCAGGTTAGGAGCACATGAAAAGTTCTCCACCTGAACATCTTGTAGAAACCTCTGCACTCCTAACCTGCCCAACCCTGTGCATTTTCATTCGGAAAGTAGCCTGCGTTCAATAGGGCCTACTTCGTATTAAGTCTGTTTAGGATTGCAGCAGCCTACATTTGAAACTTGGCTCCGCTATTGGTTAGATTTGTTTAGCTGTGATGCTGCAGCTGATTCCCCCCCACCCCCGCATGTCTTTGAAGCACTTTAAGCAGTACAGGAAATGAGGACAAATAAGCGGGCAAGCCTTTCTCTTCTTCTTCTTCACCCCCTCTCTCCTCTCCTCCTCCCCGGTTCTGTCTGTCTCTTGATCTTGCTGCTTATGCGCTTGGCACTGCGGTGGTGGCGCGGAGCTCTGGGGACTCAACCTGCCCTCGTCATCATTCCCAGAGTCCAGCTACGAAGACGGGCTAATTGAATAGCTCCCTTCCAAAGTCCCTAAGCGCCATAGTCATTTTCCATGCCCCGGGTTTTTGCAATCTGGCTATCTACAGCCACAATACACTGAAGCCCATCAAGGAAATGTTATAGATTTACATACGATGCGCAGGAGGAAAGCAATAACGTAATCCTTGCAAGGTCCAGAAAATAAATGCCAATACAGAGATCTGTGGTTCTCTCCTAGTCTGAATACACACCAGGAGTTTGAAATACTTTGGGTCAATAGAAAGGGCTACTCAAAGAAATAACTCATACCTTGAAAAGCTGATCCTAAACCCAATGAATTGAAAGTAAGTCCCACTGATTCCAGTGAAATCTGTTTCCAAAGAAGTGAGTTCGAATTACAAGTCTCTGTAGCGTTTTGGAAAGAGTTCAAATTCAATAACACAATCTAAAATGGGGGGGAGGGGGGAAGGAACTCGGGAAACAGGTTTTTTTTGTCAATAAAACGTTAAAATCTTTTTTTTAATGAAAGACAATTCAACAACATTTTAAATAAATCAATACATTACCATAATAAATAAACTTTCTATTAACAAAACCAAAGAAATCGTCATAATGTACAGAAGTAGGACTTCAAAGAGCCTTTCGAACATAACAGCAATGCAGCGAAATCTGTAAGAATATAACTGTATGTGCGTCAATTCTGAATGAATTATTTACAATACACAACGGTACCACAATCTAAGTACCTCGGGGAGGGTTTGTTTCAAAAGAGTTGTACCGAACAATGTGAATTTACAAACAGTGCATTCTCCCTTTTTATCTCTTGCGCGCCCGATCTCTCTCGCTCTCCTTTTCTCTCCCTAATATCGTTTTGGCTTTTCTACAAACAAAACCTCCGAAAATAATGCAAAAGCGAGAGAAAAACACCCTCTAGCAATCAAAGGAAATAAAGAGTAACTAGGAGACCTGAACACTGACGAGAAATAGCCTTGAAATCTAGAACAGATAGCTACTTAGATGAAAGGAAATCTAAAAGCAACAGAACCCACCACCCTGTCGCCTACTCAAGGGGCATCTTTTTAAGCAGCGTGTGGTGGGGACGATCTGGGGAATCCCCCCATTAAATATGTAACGCAGTCAACAAATACCTCCTTGGACAAGTGAGTCATTCTACACAAACAACGCAGGACAGCCACTATAGAGTGAGAACGCCTTACAAATATTTGCTGGAGAAACAGTTTCAATTCAGGTGAAAATATACAGATGGCCAAAAGGATTCCTCCTTTTTAAATAGTAATAAAAAGTTTAAAGTTCGTAAACGCTACCAACCAACGGAAAATAATGAATTTACACTAACCATACTTTTTTCCTTTTAACTTTTTTTTTATCTAGACTTTGATGAAAGAGGTGCAATTAATTAGGATGAGCACAAAATGAAGTTACTAGAGAGATAAATCAATAATTTACAAGGGGTTGTTTGGCAGTAATCTAATAATAGCTCTTAAAAGATCTGTGAACACAGCAGGATCAGCGCTTTCCTTCCACGTTATCACTTAAGAGAAGGAAACAGATAATAGCCACAGTAAAAATATATATATATTTATAATATGCAGTGTAATCGCAGAAAACCTGCCATCTTATTTTTTAAAAAAATCAAAATACTTTTGAGACGCCTCTCTTATGGTATAAGTTTCAACTCTAGATTAAAGTTTCAGTCTCTCTAATCGGTTTATTATTTTTTCCTGAAAAATAGCTGCAAAGGGTACTCTTACATCTGAACAAAGAGGATGTCTTTAAGAATAAAAACAACTCTTACTTGATACGTCTTCGGTCCTTTATAAAGATTTCTTATCTGCTTTCACACAATCAGTCTGTCTTTGATGCCTGCTCAAAAAGTCTGAGCTTTCAAGTCCAATTATTTCTGCTGCCAACTTTCTCAACTTGACAATTTACTTCTCCAGTCAAAGTCTCTCTCTCAGTGTGTGTGTGTGTGTGTCTCAGTCTGACCCTCTTGATGAACTCTGGCCTCTTCCTTTCTCTTCCGGAAATCGAAGTGGAAAAGTCTCCTTGCAATGTTAGTGTTTACTTATTATTTTACTTTTCTGGGGTTTTAAAAAAATTTCTAAGCAGAAAGGTTTCCAAAGACTCTAAATCCCAGCGGAATATTTCATCCGTTTCTGTTTCTGTCTCTGGTTACAGAACCAGACCCGAACCACGTTCTTCTTGAGGTCCAGTTTCTCCGCGATGGCCGCTATTTTTTCCGAGGAAGGACGCGGCTGGATGGCGAAGTAGGCTTCCAGGGACCTCTTTTCCGGAGCCGCGATGGAAGTGCGTTTCCTCTTCTTCTCTGCGCCGTTGAAGAGCTCCGGCTTGGTGAGCTTCTCCCGGTGCGATTTCTCCGCCTCTTCCAGCCAGGCTTGTAGGATGGGCTTGAGGGCAATCATGTTGTTATGGGACAAGGTGAGCGACTCAAACCTGCAGATGGTGCTTTGGCTTAGGGATCCCACCCCGGGGATCTTGAGGTTGGCCAGGGCCGAGCCCACATCCGCTTGAGTCACCCCCAGCTTGATCCTCCTCTGCTTGAACCGCTCGGCGAAGGCTTCCAAGTCCCGCGGGTCCGCGTCCACGTCGCTCATGCAGCCCATGTGCGAGGGCAGCCCGTGAGCGTGGGCCATGCTGAGAGCCGCCTGGTGCATGGGGTTCATGCTGGCCATGTGGGGAGCGTGGCCCGGCGTGGAGACCACCGAGCCGTCGGGGCCCGTCATGGCACCCAGCGCCAGCCCCGGCGTGATGTGTTCCAAAAGCTCCCCTTCCAGCGCCTGGTGGGGTTGGTGGTGGTGGTGGTGGTGATGGTGGTGGTGGTGGCTCCCGGACAGGGCAGAGGGGTGGGAGATGGGCACCGAGGAGGAGGAGGCGGCCGACGTGCACGGGATGGTGTTCATGGTGTGGTAGGTGGCGTCGGGCTTGAAGGGGCTGTGGTGCGGCGGGTGGTGGTGGTGGCTCTTGCCGGGAGAGACGATGTCCACCGCAGCCAGGGCTTCCGCGCGGGCCAGCAGGCTCTCGTCCAGACCGCCGAAGATGTTGCTCTGCAATTGCAAATAGAAGGCACACATTACTGCTGCCAAGAGGGAATTCGCCTCCTTGCTCCTCGGGGTGCCATCCGAGGCAGCCCAGCCCTGCTCAGAGAGAGAGAGAGAGAGAGGGAAATGAGGAGAGAGAGGGATGAAAAGAGAAAAGGAGGAGAGAAGAGAGATAGAAATAGGGGGAAAGAGAGAGCTGGAAAGAGAGAGAAAAATGGGAAAAGAAATGTATAGAAAAAGGGAGGGAGAGAGGCAGAGAAGAGGAAGAGGGAGGAAAGAAGGAAAGAGAAAGTGGGAAAGCAAGGAGGGCAGAAAGAAGGGGAAAGAAGCAGGGGGGCAGTCAGGCAACTCTAACTCTCTCTCTCTTTCTGACGCTTCCCCCCCTCCTCCCAGCCCGGCTCGGCAGCAGCATCGCAGGTCGTAAAAATTCATGGCAGCCCCTTGGAAGCCTGCGCTGGCTTTGGGGAGGGCGGGAGGCGCGCGGGGTTGATTTGCTGCCTGGCCATGAAATAAACATGCCGGCGCCTGGGCTGCCCCCTTTCCACCCTTCCCGCACTCGGGAGCGACGGAGCGACCTACCGGCGGGGTGGGCAGGCAGGCGCGGCGCAGGGCCTCCGAGGTGCTGTTGCTGCTGGTGGTGCTGCTGGGCGCGCTGCTGCGCCCGCCCGCGCCCCCGCTGCCGGCGCTGGAGATGCTGGGCGAGCTGGCCGACGGCACGGAGGCGGCCGCCGACGAGGTGCACGGCGACGCGGAGTGCAGGGCCGAGTACTTGGCCTCGTGGAGGCCGCCGCCGCCACCACCTCCGTGCGCCATGCCGAAGGGCTGCTTGCTGTTGAGGGACATCATCATCATGGTGGCCGGCGGGAAAGGCGAGGAGGCGAAGAGGCGGGAAAAGGCGCGAGGAGAAGTTGCTGCCTCAGCGGCCGCCGCCGCCGCCCCGTCGGACTGAGGCGCCTCGCCGGCTCTCGCGTCCTCTGCCTGCCCCTTCGGCGAAGCCTCTTCCTCTCGCCACTCTCCGCCGTCAAACTGCCCCCTCAGCCGCCTCGCCGCTGGCTTTTTACTCGCCTTGCCCCCCCTCTCGCTGCCTTGTCACTAGGACGCCCCCCAACTCTTTGGGGAAAGTCCCTTCCCTTCCTCCTCCTCCTCCTCCTCCTGCCCCTTCCCTGCTAGTCCTCCTTGCCTGCCTTCCTCGCCTCTCCTCAGCGCCCCTCCTTCCCCTCCCCAGCGCCTCCCTCTGAAGCGCCAGAGGCCCCCTCGTCCCGCCCGCCCTCCGCTGCTCCCGGCGCCCCAAGAAGCCCCCTCCCCGCCCAGCCCAGCCTCCCTCAGCTTGGAGCCCCGGCAGCTGTTGCTCAAACTGGAGCAAGAGCCCCGAAGCGCTGCCTTCTTTCTTCGCCGCCGGCTTCCCCTCCCTGCCCGCCCAGCAGCAAAAAGAGGGAGGAAAAAAGGCGGGAGGAGCGCTCTAGCCTCGCCCTATTGTTCCTTCCTCGGCGGCTGGGACGCCGCCTCAGCGCTGGGCTGCGGCACACCTTGGCCTGGCAGGTGCCTAGCGCGAGCCAGCGAGACCTCCGCGTAACTGGGCTGAGCGAGTCTTTCTGTCTCCCTCTGTTTCTCTCTGCTCGTCGCCCATTGGACGCGGGCGAAGCCGGGGCTGACAAGGCGAGACGCATGCGTCCTGCGAGAGAGCGCGCGCGTGTGTGGCTGCCGAGCGAGGGGCTGGAGGAGCGCGAGGAGGAAGCTCGAGGAGGGAGACGGAGAAGGGAGCGAGGGATTGTATGAGCTGCGCGTGTGAGAGAGATAGAGATAGATATTAGACGTTAATGCTAAGAGGGAACCTGAAAGGGATAACATCACAAATATGTTGGCAGGGTGGTGTGCGGAGAGGGGAGGGGAAATGTGTGAGTGAGGGGACACGGGGTGGAAAAGTGCGAGAGAAAATGTCCTGTGGAGAGCAAGTGAGGGAGACCTCGTTGCTGGAGAGAGCGGGGGTCCCCGCGAGGCCACGTCGTGGTCCTTTCTGAGGGGCTGAAAGACGAAGGAGAGAGCGGACTGTTTCGAAGCCTAGCAGAATGTGTGTGTATTTGTGTGCCTCTGTGTGAGAGAGAGATGGGGATTGAACTTTACTGTCCTGGGAGGTGAGCTCTGTGGGACGGATAAAAGTGTTTACTATAGTTGTATGTAGATGACATACGGTATTTGCGCTTTTTTCTGCCTCTGTGCGGAGTTTACAGAGCAGTGCTGTGAATGTGTGTGTGTAAATACTGTATAGTCTATCGTATCTATCTCCCTTGGCTTGTGTTCATACGTTGAGGCAGCTCCCTGGTTGGGGCTGTTGCAATAGTGTCGCGAGGGGGTTGGGAGAGACAAGTCCACCCTTCTTCTTCCACAAGGCGGAGAGAGCGAAGGGAAGGAGGGGTCTGGAGAAAGGTGAAAGCCTTTCCATTCGAGTTATTATCATTCATTAGCCACCGCGGAGTGGGGGGGGGGCGCAGTTTGCCCCGAGAGACTTCACTGCGCAGGTGCAGCAGGAGGACACCCCGCGCCACACACCCGCTACCCCTGAGACTGACTGGCACTACTCCCCGGAGTTGCCGCTGGCGCCTGGTTTTTATCCTGCCGCGGTGGCTCTTGGGAATTGGAATCCTGCCGCTCTCCTCCTCCGAAGTGGGCGCGTGCCAGAGGGTGGTGCCGTCGCCTCCCCTGGGTCGCTCCCCCGCACCGTCACCTTTGTTTGCAGTTTCCTGCGTCGCGCTCTGCAGGCTGGATGAAGCTGCCCGCCTTCGGGGCCAGGCGCTGCGGGAGAAGGAGCTGCTTGCTGGAGGGGGTGCGAAGGGCGGGGCAGAGCGGAGCCTGGGACCAGCTGATGGCTCTGCTCCCTGCCAGCCAACAGCCTGTCTCTCTCGTGCCATTGCTTTTCCGCTTGTGCAGGAGTTCCACGTGGGATTTCCACGGGTGCCATGGGCCTCTCCAGGCTAGCGTGACACTAGGGGAAAGAGATGCCCCCAAATGTTCAGACCATCCTCCTCTTTCACCTCTTGCAATCCGGCATCTTAGTGCCACCCAAAGCCGCATGATGGGCTCAGTTCTGAGCCCAGCCATTTCCTTGGCTCTGTCAGTTTTATGATGGATGGGTTTCATATTTAAAATATATATAGGTGTGGGTGGGTGGGTGAGTGTGTAAAAAAGGGGGGGGAGGCTGCTGAGTGACTTATTTCAATACAGCTGGCCCTTTTGTGTGCCTTAATTTTACACTAGGCGGCTCCAGCAGGTTTCTCACCCCAAACGATAGGCTTCGTAATTTTCAGGGAAATAATAATAATAATAATAAAAATCCATTGTATCAGCTCTCACTGTCGCCAGCTCAGAGAAATGAAATAAATCAAAGTTAAAAGCTTGAGTATCATTTAATTATTGTGCGAACAGCGCTTGGAAAGGAGTGGAACAACATCTCTAAACAAATTATGGCCGGGCCAGGAAGGAATTATTAGATTGAAATTTCATTTAGGCTCGGGAGACACAGCGCTTCAATATGTAATCTGTTATGCCTCATCTGATTTGTATGCTTAATTCAGCTTGACGAATTTATTAGTTTTCATAATAGAAAAAAAGAGCAAACCACGGAGCAGCACTATGGGCTAATGCATTGTGTGTACTATAAATTGTATGTAACCGTTGAAAGGCTGAAGTCTATAGAAATCTTTTATTAATGGCAACATAGAAAGGGAGCAGATTCTTGCAAGCCTTTAAGGAGTTCATGTCAGCCCTCCACAGGGCTGTCTCGGTAGGCCATTAACATATCGTCATACTAATTAGGCTACTTCATCAGTGATATAATTTCAAACTTTAAATTATGTTCTAATTAACAAGGGTTGTCCAATTTGCTTAATCTTCAAAAGGCTTTTGGCTTGTCTAATTAGTCTAAACTATTGAGCATCTCAAACGCCTAATAAAAAGATCTGTAGATAATATTTTTGTATTTTCATTGAAAGAAGTTTACAAGGGACAGTTGAAGGGCAGAGGTGGAAAGCAGGTTTCTCTAGCCATCAGCCATTGGACTGGCCAGTCATATTCCATATTTGTGTTACAGGTCGAGGAATCCTAAGCAAGCAATAGCTGTTTAACATTGCATTTCAGGATACTATTGAAAATTAAAAACAGAGGCTGAGGACAATTATGCTTCCCACAAATCAGCCAAATAGACCTCAAATCAAATTATCTTCTAATTTTCTAACAGATAATTAACAGGGTATTCTCAATTTAATACTTAGCTCTCAAGTGAACTTTGAGTTTAAAAACCCTCTTTTAAAAATATTTAACCCCCTGTATTGAGTTTAATTACTTGCACTAGTTGTTTTAATGTATGCTGTCACATGGGAGAACTGAGAATGCATATCGTTAATATGAATTAATCTTGATTTTAATAGCAACTGACAACTGATCTCCAAAATGCTAAACACTTGTCACCACTTCCTATGGTAAATAAGGGATTATAATATATTAATGAAATAAAGGGAACACTCGTGAAATAAGTGGGCAAAGTTTGTTTGGTGCTACGTTTAGCTAAGATTATTTAAACACTGCAGTCTCCAAGGCCTCCTTTTCCAAAGGTCTGGGCAGAAGGGAAATTACCAAATCCGCGATACTAATGTAGATTAGTCATTCACGCTCTTTTCAGCAAAACCTTCTCCCCTCAACAGTATGTGACCTATATTGTCTGCTATCCTGTGTATCGTTGGGGGGACAAATCCTACCGAAGCAAATGAGACTTAAGCCGCCCAGTTCTGCTCGGGAATGGAACTCTTGTCATTAAACATAGATTCGTTTGTAGTTCTGATATGTAGCTATAAGCCCTTTTTTTCCTCCATGAGAAAACACATAGAAAGAAACAGAAACCCTAAGTCACCATTCATATAGTTTCCTTCAAGCCCACGTGACAAAAGTCAGGCAAAAGCGGACAACGTAAACAAGGTGCTAACCTTGCACCAGACATTTTAAAATCTCTTAGTCACCACAAAATACTCTGGAATAGATGCGCACCATATAATGTAATCTTGTAGTTTGCGCTTTGACCTCTGTGAAAGGGTCGAGTCCTGACTCCTGGCCTCTCTAAGATCAGTGGGAAATTGTTCGTTGGATGGGATGTCAAATGCTTGGGAAAGGTTCTCTTGGATAGTCATGAGAAAACAGAGTTGTAGGAGAATTCGGGGGTCTAAAGAGGCGACTGTTGTCTCATCATGAACCTGATTGGAGTTGAACTGAGGACGTATTCACGACTTAACAGTTTGCCTTCCAACAGGAGTACATTGTTCTGCATGTTGAAGATGTTATTATTTTTAAACCCCAAGCAGGAAATTAGGTTGGGTTCCCCACATCAGAGAGTCTTTGGGCGCTTCTGGATTTGGAGGCCTCTTTGTCTAGCAGCAGCTTCTGCCACCGACTGGCCTCAGACAGATGTGAAATGCAGCTGTCCCAGAGCAGCGTCAAGCCCTCGGGTACCAGCGCAAGGCTGCCTTCGCAAGCCTTCCAAAGCCATTAGTCTTCCTGCAGGCTCTGCGCACAAATGGACTTGCCTAAATAAAATTAGAGTCCCCCTTTCATTGCCTGACCCACGCAGACATCTGGGGAGAAATCACTGTCGCCTCTCATGTATCCCTGCTCTGATTTATGATTAAAATTTAAAGCAACGCATTCATATTTTACCGAACCTAATGCGCCGGATGAAATTTTAATCCATTAAGATGCAGGCTATACTTTAGGAAGCCCTGCCTTTGTTTTTCAGCAAGGAATAGAGAGTTCGGTTATGACCAGGGCAGTTATTTATCGGAAATGCGGCTGTCCGATGCCCTCCCTGTTTT